ATGTTACTTGCCTAGTATATAGTAAAATTAAGAATTATTTTATTTCTGGATCAACTGATGGATCAATTATATTATGGAAATAATTGAATAACAATCAATGGTAAAGTTCTAAACCATAATGTGAGCATAAGGAATAAATCAATTGTATAATCTTAACATAAAATGAAGATTAATTAATTTCAGGTAGTTCAGATTGTATGATAAATGTATGGAGAATAGATTTTATTAATAATCAATTAACATTTCTCTATTCTTTATAAAAACATTCTAGATCTGTCAACTAATTAAGTTTAAATGAATCAGAAAGACTATTGGTTTCATGTGGATATGATACATTAATAATAATTTGGTAAAAAGATGCAAATAATAAGTGGACTTTTTAGTAAGTTGTTAATTACAATTAATAATCAATTCAAGATAGTGTGGCTCATGTTAAATTCATAAAGGAAGATTAATTCATATTGTTACCTTATAAATTCAATTGTTTATACGTATTTTAACAAAAAGATGGTTAATTTCAAGAAATAATAGAGAAGAAAGTTTAATTTAAAAAAAATAGCGAGGGATATGTAAATTAATCATTCTTCCCTATAATATACATTAAGGATAAAAATTTAATATGTTTGAGACATATAAACCATATTATGTTACTCAAAGAACAAAATGATGGATAATTGTAAATTGTTTAGGAATTAGATTGCCAATATTGGAATATATATGGAACAGTAACAAACAATGGATAATATTTAATATATTGGGGAGAAAAGAAGTATAAATATGAGATATATGAAATATAGTATAAATGAAATAAATGATTCATTATAAGTATTAGATTTCATTATTCTATTTCAAATTATTATTATCTTTTCTATTCTTTTCTTAATTAATAAAGGTATTATTTACTCCATAAGATTTTTAAAAAGAAAAGGATTTTTTGATGATGATTCTTATATTAAAATAAATTAATTTCCTTGAATTTAAATTCTTTAAAGAAAAAATCAATATAGTGATTTTCTTATTTAATAATTTAACTGCAATCATATATACCTATTTTTATCTTTGACTTGATTAATTGAGAATGTGTTAATAAAATGATTTTTCAATAAAAATTAATTATGAAACAATCATAGTGAATTGAAATCTTAAATGAAATTTCATTTTTTCTTTTAGTTTCTCTGAGTGATTATTTACTTAATATAAATATTTAATTTTTTTGATTTATATATTTAACAGAATTGAAAGTAGTGAGTATTTAAAAAAATATTTTTAGGTCTAAAAACATGCAAATAAACAAATAAATATGGAATCTGGTTGCTAATAAATTTTAGTCTAATTTATATCTAAATTTAGAACTATAAGGACTATATCTAATTTTGAATACTTAAGAATAAAAACTTAAAGTTGTGAATTTAAAATTTTCCAATCATATTTTTTATATGTTCATGAATTTTTTTAAATATTTGAATTTGTATATTAAAATGGAAGAGAGAAGAAATTTCAAACTTGTAAATGAGCAATCTAGTCTAAAAGAAAAGATTTAAGAGTAAGACATTTAATCACTTCTTAAATTTATGGATAAGAAGATTCCAAAAATAAATAAGTATTTTTATTTGGGTGCGTTCTTACTATAAATAGATAGATTATAATTATAGAAGATATTTGAATATTTTTAGGCTGTTGCAGAGTATATCTTATTTTAAAACAAATTGAATTATCTTAGTCAAAATGATGAATTGGCAAAAGGAATAGTTGGGCGTATTAATGAATTGAATGATGAGATTGTGGCTTGTTAGTTAAATGTTGAAGTATCTACTTACAAGAGGTAATAAAATATAATTTGTTAAGAATGTTCTAATTATTTTATAACAGTCATTCATTTAATTTAATATATGATGATATAAAGGCTACTTGATATATTCATTTATAATATTAATTTTTTCTCTTCTTTAACAAATAGTAAACTTATCCATAGTAAAATTAAATTTACAAAATTAATTTGAAAAGTTTAAATTCAATAGTCTTATGAATAATAAGGTGAATAATTTTTATGTTTATTATTAATGAATGTTTATCATATTTAATCCCCTGAGTAAATATAACACAACATATGTAATTATATCATATAGAATTTAATTTAATTAATTAGGTATAATTGTGAGTCTAGTGCATAAAAAGTTGTTATAACTCTGTTCTAAAATTATTAGATATTCTATTAAATACTTAATAAGATCACCAAGTGTGAACAAATATCTTGTAAATTATTATTATCTGTATATGCTTTAGATTTAGTTTTCCATATCAGTTTGATATTAAATCTGATTATTACGAGAGAAGAAAAAGCTTTTCATAATTATCATAATTATTCTAAAACATTAAAGCTTACTAGATTAATTTAGATATACATATGCTTAATCAAACCTAAATATAAGAGTTATAGATTAAAGATAGTAAAAAAATTTTTGTTTCAACATTATCATTTAATAAAAGTGAGGAGTTCAAATCCAAACTTTGAATTTATGAAAAGGGAATCATAATAGTGAGATTCCCAATTGATTTCAATAAAATGTAATTCAAGAAAAATATCTATAATAATACATATCTCTAATACAGGAACCTATTAGCAGTCTACTTAATTGAATTATCACCTGTTTGATAATTAATGACATCATAATTTAAATGAACTGAGGGCTCACTAGAAAATACAAACATGAATCACAAACTTTAAAAAGCCAATGCTTATCATAAGTACATTTAAATTTTATAAATTTACCTTATTTATTAAAGAATCTCTCTTAAAATAATCATGATTAAGAAGGTGACAGATGTTAAAAATAACAAAAGAGATGGTTATTTGCTATTTATAGATATTCCTTAATAGTTAAAAGTGAATTCAAGGCCTGGAGAATTTCTAGAAATACTACTAGAATTTAGAGGGCTCTATATTATTCAGACATTATCCAATAATGTCTAATGTAAAAATCAAAATTAAATGACGATTATGTCATTAAAAATAAACTAAAATAATCCTATTCCATATTTTTCCTTTGTGTAAGATTTTTGACCTAAATTATTCCTGCTATGATTTATAATACAAAGATTTAACAGATTAATCTTATTATGAAACAAAATTTTTTCTTCATAAAAACATGATATATTTGAAACAATCAAAAAGATCTTCATTTTCCTCACACATTTATTTGAAAAATGTTAATTTAACAGGTATAATCAATTTATAATTAGTTTTTTACTCTTGCAATTTATACATTTAATATATTAGAATTAGTATTATTAAAAATTAATAACAGAAATGTCAAGTTCCATTCATCGTCATTCGGAATGATGACCCTTTTTATTCTATTAATAAAATAAAACTACTTAATATCTTAAAAAACTCTATTTTCAAAGTGCATTTGAAGACTTTAATCTATTTTATTTTATTTTTTGCATATAAAATTGAAAAATGAATACGATCATTTTAATGTTAAATTTACTTTTTTTATTTTAATATTGAATTCATTTGTGTGTCATGATTGAAAATATATTTTTTTTATCATCATCATTTAGAATGTGT